TTTTTGGACAAGGTCTTACTCCGTCACCCAGGCCGGAGTACAGTGGCACAATCTCAGCTCACTGCAACCTCCACCTCCTGGGCTCCAGCGACCTTCCCACCTCAGCCTCTCAACTCGCTGGGATTACAGACCCGTGCCACCATGCCCAGCTAATTTTTTAAATTTTTTTGTAAAGATGGGGTGTCGCTCTGTGGCCCAGGCTGGTCTCAAGTTCCTGAGCTCAAGCAATCTTCCTGCCTTGGCCTCCTGAAGTGCTGGGATTATAGGTGTGAGCCAGCATGCTCAGCCTTATACATGCCTTTCTATAAGCATAATTTTCCTCTTAGTAGTCTTGTAAACTTTTTGGAAAACTATTTTTCCCCTTTTAGCTGACCCACAGTGGAAAGGATTTTCCCTACCTCAGGCTGGGGAAGGAATCTGGTACTAACCCAGTGGCCATCATGGAAATGGCAGCATCTGACTTGGCTCAGGACCCAGGAGATCTGATGGAGCCAGACGAAGATTTTTTTTTTTTTTTTTTAAGGAAGCTGAGCATCCAGGAGAGAAAAAGAGACAGGGAAAGAAATATAGTAACAACCACTGGATAATTCTCCTGCAGATGCCCTCTCATTAAAACATTTTCATTCATATGGCAGACATTGCACCCCTCTTTTTCATTGTCTGGCAACTGAATCAACTTTAAATGACTCATCTTTGAGGAGGAGGAGGAGAGAGAACACAACAGAATTTCCATATCCAAACTGTCTTTTTCCTTTTCTTACACTCAAATGCAAAAGAGATATCTGTTCCCCAAATTAACTACAATAGGCAAGGTTTAGAAGAATGTTTAACCAACTTTTTGTTGGTTACTTGTCAGCTTTGGACATTAACAACTCTGATATTCAGGGAAACAACCATCTGGAAAGTAAATAAACAGACCAGTTTTATAGCTCTGGACACACCTTCATTCATTTTTTTCATTTGTTCCACAGAATTCTGTTGAGCACCCACTCTGAGCCAGGCACGTGCTAGGTGCCTGGGATAAAATACTGACTCAAAAAGAAGAAAACCCTGTCTTATTAAGTTTTTATTATCAAACTTCAGGCAAGACTGCAGAATAAATATTAAAGTTAAACATGATTTCAAAGAGATCAAATTGGTTATGAGGTCTATTTCAACAGCTTTAAAAAAATGGGACATGCAGCTAATAAGTAGCGGAGCCCATATTCAATCCAGATTCCACAGTCAGTATCCTTAATCACCACTGTCTCCATGAATAAACCAAACACACATTTGCTAGAGTAGAGAGAGTAGAGACCTATCAGTAAAATGCATAAATTTTGTCATGAGTCATCATTCCTTTTTATTTTATTAGTTTTGTAAGAATTAGATTTTACTGATGGATTTTCTTTTCTTTTCTTTTTATTTTTTCATTTTTTATTTTTTGTTTTTGAGACGGAGTCTTGCTCTGTCCCCCAGGCTGGAGTACCGTGGTGCAATCTCGGCTCACTGTAAGCTCCATCTCCCAGGTTCACGCCATTCTCCTGCCTCAGCCTCCTGAGTAGCTGGGACTACAGGCGCCCGCCACCACGCCCGGCTAATTTTTTGTATTTTTAGTACAGACTGGGTTTCACTGTTTTAGCCAGGATGGTCTCAATCTCCTGACCTCGTGATCCACCCGCCTTGGCCTCCCAAAGTGGTGGGATTACAGGCGTGAGCCACCGTGCTCAGCTGACTGGGATTTTCTTAAAGGGAGTAGTGCCACAGTCCATGGAAGCCAGAATCAAATAAATGACAAAGCTAAGCTGCTGAGGCCTTGCCCATCACAGGTTGAAGCCACTATAATTTTCTGCATAAAGAGAGAACCACCAGTGTATGTTCAATAGTCTAAAACAACAATTATATCCATACATGTGAAAATTCAGCCTGTCCTTTAATTCTTTCCTAAGTTGAACTGTCAGTTATTGATTGTGGCTTTAAAATCAGGATACTTCAGTAGCTGGCCTAGTGACTAGCTAAACCACCCATCAGGAAAATTGAATTAGTTAAGAGAAGAAAAGCAGTAAGACTTGTAGAACTGAATGGTGCCTTGGAGGTTACCTGATTCAACCTTTTCCCCTTAGCCTGGACAAACACACACACACACACACACACACACACACACACACACACACACACAGAGAGAGAGAGAGAGAGAGAGACAGACAGACAGACAGACAGACACACACACACACAATCAGTCCAGGACCAAAATCCATGTTTCTTGACAACAAAATGTCTTTCGAAAGTTGATAAGCCGCAAAGATATATCTCCCAGATCCTTTCTCTTCTCTCCATTTCTCCTGACAGCAAGCGTCACATCTTTGAGACTTCTTGCCTCCTAAGAGGTGACTTCTGTACTGGCTTACCCTAACACTGCTAGAAAATTTGTAAAGCTTGATTTTGACATTTTCCCTCCTCTGCTCAAAAATCTTCCATGTCTCCTGTTACTTGGGAAATAACAAAATAATTATCCCAGCATCCAAGGCCCTCAATCATCTGATTCTGTCTTTTTTTCCTCTCTATTTCCCTTTAATGTAACCCTTAATCCAGTCAGCTCAGCTCACCCTTCTTTGTGTGCATTCCCTGAGCTTTCTTGCCTCTTTCTCTTTGCTCCTGCTGGTCCTTCTCTCCTGCACCTTGGGTATCCAAATCAAATCTCATTCAAGTCCCAACTCAAATGCTAATAAAACTTTTTTGGAGCTCTGTCAACTAGGAGTCACCATCTCTCTGTTTTTCTCTTCCATATTTTATCATAATCATGGACAGTTAATCTCTTCCCATTAGACTGTAAGCTTCTTAGGGGAAAGAACATGCTTGATTTCTCTCTTCACTGCCACCATAGTACCTTGCCCTTAAATATTTGATAGACTAGTAAATCAATGAATATATTAAGAATAATACATCTTTTTAAAGTGTGTGGTTTTAAAATCTACCAATGATGCTAGTTACACTTTTTGTTTTTAACTAGGAAAAAACACAATGACTATGGAAATATGTCATTAAAATTAAAAATAATTTTCCTTTTAAAAAATTATTTCACTTATAATACAGATGCAGAACTGCCTGAAAACTTTCCCTCTAATCTCTATCCTAAAATATTGGTTTTAAAAGTCTTTAAATTTGCTTTGGTTAATAATAAGACGATAATACTTTAGAAAGAAATGATCTTGAGAAGTCATCTCATTCATTCTCCACTCCCAACCCATATATGAAATCTCTCGGGAAAATAAGAACTCATCCTGTCTTAAGGATCTTCTAAGATAAATTGCACAGAATTCCTGGTAATTCATCTCAATGTCTCTTGAGCTTCCCTGTCACAGTGTTACTCCACAATAAGTTAAACACTGAGTAACTTGTGCTATTATCTCAACTCTTGAGAGTTAGTATAGCATAGTGGTTAAGACACAAAACTTCTTTTTTTTGAGACCGAGTCTCACTCTGTTGCCCAGGCTGGAGTGCGGTGGTGCAATCTTGACTCACTGCAACCTCCATCTCCCGGGTTCAAGCAATTCTCCTGCCTCAGCCTCCTGAGTAACTGGGATTACAGTGCTACCACGCCCAGCTAATTTTTTATATTTTTAGTAGAGATGGGGTTTCACTGTGTTGGCCAGGCTGGTATTGAACTCCTGATCTCAAGTGAGCTACCCACCTCTGACTCCCAAAGTTCTGAGATTATAGGCATGAGCCACTGCGCCCATCTGACACAAAGCTTCTAAAATCAGACTTCCTCTCTGTCATTGGGAAAGTTATTTAATCTTTCTTTGTCTCAGCTTTTTCATCTGCAAAATGGGAATGATAATAGTATTTATTCATAGAATATTTGAGAAGATTAGATGAAATCATATATGTATTTAGAAAAGTGTCTGAAACCGACCATGTGTGGTGGCTCATGCCTTTAATCCTAACACTTTGGGAGGCCGAGGTAGGTGGATCACTTGAGGCCAGGAGTCCAAGACCAGCCTGGCCAACATGGTGAAACCCTGTCTCTACTAAAAATATAAAAATCAGCTGGGTGTGATGGCGTGCACCTGTAGTCCCAGCTACTTGGGAAGCTGAGGCACAAAAAAATCACTTGAACCCAGGAAGGAGAAATTGTGGTGAGCCAAGATCACGCCACTGCACTCCAGCCTAAGCAACAGAGCAAGATTCTGTCTCCAAAAAAAAAAAAAAAAAAAAAGGTTAACTTTGGTCGGGCATGGTAGCTCACACCTGTAATCTCAGCATTTTGGAAGGCCAAGTAAGGCTGATCATTTGAGACCAGGAGTTTGAGACCAACTTGGGAAACATGGAGAAACCCTGTCTCTACTAAAAATACCAAAATTAGCTGGGTGTGGTGGTACATACCTATAATCCCAGCTACTCGGGAGGCTGAGGCACAAGAATTGCTTGAACCTGGGAAACAGAGGCTGCAGTGAGCTCAGGTCACACCACTACACTCCGGCCTGGGCAAAGAGCAAGACTCTGTCTAAAAAAAAAAAAAAGAAAAGAAAAGAAAGAAAAGAGAAAGAAAGAAAAAGAAAAGTATCTGAAACCTAGTAAATGACATATAAATGTTACTATTAAAATGTCTTCTTATTTTATTTTGATACAGATATAAAATAGCTGGATATTTAGTCTTACATACCTGAAGATTTTAAATAAATAATCTTTTTTTTTTTTTTTGGCTGAAGAATCCCAGTTCCTTTGTGCTAGTTTTTAAAAATCAGATGAATTTTCCAATCTTTACAGAAGTCTTCCTTTGGCTCTTCATCTTAGTGCGGTAAAGGGGTAGTTTTGCTACTTTGCTATTACAACAGAGATATTTGAACCAAGCCTCTAGAAGTCTTATCTATTTAACATGTATCTTTTTAGAGTCATTCTTCATGCTAGGCACAACAGGCATATAACATTGCGTAAGATGGGCAAGAGCCCCGCCTTCATGGAGCACACAAATTTTACTCATAGAAACAAACTCTTTTACCATTAGCCAAATCACTTACCACTATTTCGAATTCTTTCTTCCAATAGGTCAGAATGACCAGACGGAAGTTTCTTATTGAAAATCTCAGCTGAACGAAGGAACATAGCTTCAACCGCAGACCCTTTCAGCAAAGCAATCTGGTCTTCATGGTCCAAAGTTTGAAATCCTAGGTAATGATGATAATCAAATTAGTATCAAGGAGTAACAATATTTTATGATAACCATCATTGCCATTGATAAAACATTTTCATCAAGTGATTTTGTAGTTGTTTTACAATTGGGTAGTCTAGTTGAGTCCATTTGTACTCGCCAACAAAATAGAGGTTGTTATCTTCATTGAGCAGAATTTATTAAACAAGCTGGGCAAAGGGAGATGTCAAGTCCAAGCAGATACATATATTATGGCATAGATACACTGATTCAGATGAAGAAACCCTCAGAAACTAGATGCAGGCAGATTTTCTTTGAGCCATTCTGTTAGTCACACCTGATGTGACAGGGTCAACTCTGCAGATTGGAAGCATCTACAAGCCAGAAAAAACTTTATATGCACCCAGAATATTCACCTAACTCATGAGTCTTTAGTCAAGCTAAAGAATGGGTAGTATTTCCCAAAAAAAAGCCAATCAAAGTCAAATTGGTGTATCTGCTCTGAACTTAGTACTGCAACACACAGGGTAAGGGAAAATCAGAAAAATATGGTAAGAATTGCCAACCTGATGAAATATAACACTGCCTGGAAAATTCAAAGTCGTTATCCAGGCTTATATGGTACAGTCCCAACAGCTTCTCTGAACTCATTTTCTACTCCTTATTCCCCCTACTTTTTGTGTTCCAGCCACACTGACCCCCTGGCCCTGCTGTGAGCACACAAGCCTCTTTTTGCCTCAGAGATGAATGTTCTTCCCAGATATCCCCAAGCCCCGTGCCCCGCTCCGTCCTGCAATCAAGCCTCTGCTCCAGCATTCCCCAATCTAAAATACACTCCCCACCACTACTAGTATCTACCTTCTTTATTTTAATTTATAGAACTTATCACCACCTGACATGATATTATAGATTTATTTGCTTATTCATTAATTATCTGCCACCTCTACTGGAGTGTACATTTCTTGGAGGTAGAGGCTTTGTTTTTATTTTCTTTTGTATCTCTGTTTCCTGGCACATAACAGGTACCTAAGAATTATTTGTTGGATAATTGACGGATTGAATGAATGAATGAATGGGAAACAAAACACAAGCTCATGTGCATGCTGGCACATATACTCACATAAATAGAGATAACACCATAAGGGTCTAAATGGCTTAGGAAGAACTAAATAGCAAAGGGAGTATAGAGGAGAGAACAACGCTAAAGACTGAGCCACCATCCTAGAGAATCTAAGAGCTTCTTTGAGAAAAGGGGCCATGCCTTACTGCTTTCAGGGACTCCAGCACCCTGGACAGTGCCTGGCACAGGGTGTGCTCAATGAATACTGAATGGAATGATTCAATTCAGTTTTTCACAAAATATCCCTTCAGTATTGGTACTATATCTCTACTATTACTACTTGTAATAATGCTATCTCTGTCATTATTGTCCATTTTTTTCCTTCTCAAGGGTCTTTTGCCTTTTATTTCCTTCCATATTTTAAATTTTTTCCTTCTGCTTTACTCATTGAACACACATAATTGTACTCACTCCCTCAGGAATTAAGCTAGGCACTGGGAATTAAGAGATGCTAAGATGTTACTATTGCTTTCAGATAAGCTACCTTCTTATGAATAAAGTTTTTATTTGTCTTCAATTATTTCTTGATTCAAGACCAAGTGACCATGTGAACTTACAAAATCTCTTCCCATAAATAACCAAAAACATGTCCCTTGTCCAGTTCTTTCCCCCACAGTTTTTACTTTTATGTCATCCAGTTTTTTATTGATACTGTCTTCCGTTTAATTAGCATATAGTAAATTAAGTTCCTCTTTCATTGTTAATAAAGAAATGACAGCATAGTAGTGTTTCAATGATAGTGAGAACTTTCTCCTCACACTTTATGAGTTTTATGTAGGCTTATGTCTATCTGTGACACATTTAATAAAATAATAGCATAATGATGGCAAAAAGAAGGCAAATTAACATGTTTAATTAACATCCTATATCAGAAGTTATCTTCTGTAATTTAATATTATAGTATTATGCTGCTATACAAGGTATTTATTACACTCTTCTAGACCATGGGATTTCAATACACCAATATTTTCATAAACATTGAAACAACTAAAATCCATTAGCTTAGATAGCATTGATGATGTGGCAAAAAGAATTTGAGGCTAGGATATAAGAAGACTCCCACATTCTAGTTTCTATACTGGCACCATCAGAATGAGTGTGGATAAGTTAAGTCCCTCTCCCTCACCTTACACATACAACTGTTCCTCAAGCCCTATCAGTTTTTGAATCTCTCTTCTTTTTGTTTCTTCTTCTCTTTCCCACTGCTATTGCTTTATTTCAAGCCCTGTTGCCTGGACTTGTGCAGTAGCATACTACCTGATCTTCCCTGCCCCCAGGCCGTTTCCATTCAAATTCATCTTACATGAACCTGATTAAGTCATTTCTGTATAACAAAAACTTCATCATTTCCCTCTGTTACAAAAACCACCAAAATCTCTTTACTATCCAGGGGACACAGATTAAATTCCTTAGTTAGGCCTTCATCAGTCTGGTACCAACTTACCTTATTGTCTAACCTAGGAGCCCACCACAGACACTATGCTATTACCACACTGAATTTTCTCTCCCACCTCGAATAATCCTATTCTTGTATGCCTCAGTGTCTTTTAACAAGCAGATCTCTCGGCCAGGCATGGTGGCTCACTCCTGTAATCCCAGCACTTTGGTCAAGGCAGGCAGGTCACTTGAGGTCAGGAGTTCGAATCCAGCCTGTCCAGTATGGTGAAATCCCATCTCTACTAAAAATACAAAAATTAGCTGGGCGTGGTGGCATGTGCCTGTAGTCCCAGCTACTCAGGAGGCTGAGGCAGGAGAATTGCTTCAACTAGGGAAGCAGAGGTTGCGGTGAGCCAAGATCATGCCATTGCACTCCAGCCTGGGCAATTGAGCGAGACTCCGTCTCAAACAAAACAAAACAAAAACAAAAAAACAAGCAGATCTCTCATCTTGGAATGCTGCTTCTTCTCCATGCCAACTGGAAAACTTCTTTTTCTTTTAGACTCAACTCAAATATGATCCTCCCTGAAGTCTCTCCATCTTTCCTAGACACAATTAGCAACCAGTTCCTCTCTGTTCAAACAGCACTTTGTATGTATGTGTATGTATGTGTATTTATTATTATTATTATTATCACCTTTGACCACTCTCCCTGAAGGTAACAGTCAGGCACTTAGTATAGAGTAGGTATCAACAACTGCTTCCTGAAGGAATAAATGGGTGAATGACAACCTTGCAAAGTTTCAATTTTTAATCCACTGATTTCAAAGAGTTATTATACATTATTTTAAATATCCTTTCTAGTTCTAATATCTTATGTCTATAGTAGTTAGACTTGTTAGTTTAAATCAGATATTAGATGATTTTCATTTTACAAAGAACAGACCTGCCTTTCTCAATGTCACAAGACTATTGCAGAGAATAGCAGTGAAATAAGTACATGTGAAAATACTTGGCAAAGTAATACTGAAAATAGAGCTGATCTCACAGGAATGTTTTGAAAAATAAAACACCGTGTGTAAAACAGGTAATCTAATCTGTGAGCACATATTTAAATTCTCAATAAATATTAACTTTGATTATTTAAAAAGTACCTGGTAGCTTTTTTGTGAATTCTACAAGAACTTGTACATGATTGGTTGCCATTTCCGTTAAAATGAGAAAATTTTCTTCTGCACTGAATTCTTCTTTTAACTAAATTTTAAGAAAAAAAAAGATTAATAAGTAGATAAGAAAATGATAATATAAAACCTATTAGACTAAAGAAAAACTAGATTTAGATGATAAAATTTGAAAACTCATCTTACTGTTTCTCAGATCTTTGGAGGGCAATTATCAAGATAGATGGGAGACTTCTTACTCTTGAATTGTTTAATGTTGCTAAGAGTTTAAAAGTCTAACTTGAATTCTCAGCTCTAATCATTTCAAAGTAACATATTCACATATAAATTATACCTTCAAGGCAGTAAAATCTCCAGGAAATACTAACATTAAACCCACATATTTTCAGATATTATACATACAATTTTATTTGTTATTTCCTGAGGCATCTTCTGTTTGCTATATGAATCCATAATATAATGTAGAAGATTCTGTTGATCTGGGGTGAGTTCAGTTTTCTCCTACACTGGCAAGAAAATAAAAGGTGTTAGGGAAGTTGTGTATAAAGCCTTCTTTCTATATGGGCATTCATCTGGAGGGAACTAATAGCAGAAATTATTTTTTTTAAAAAGCCATAAATACAGCAGGAATTATGAGCTCTAATAGAGTGTATAATTTCTTTCTCTGGGTCCTCGGGCAGGCCATATCACATTTCACTGTATTTTCCCATCTATAAAATATGAATAACAAAATATTTCACTTGTGTATTTCTTAGGAATAAATGGTAGTCTGGATATGAAGACTAGTGAGCCCATTCATATTGAAGGTCACTGAAAGTTCAAGCTTTAATTATAACTAATGAAAGGTTCTCACATAGTATGACTACTATGAATACTACATTCATATGGTATTCAACATGAATTCCACTTGGAGAAATCATCTAAGAGTACTCATGTGGAGGAGGGAATCAACAAACTGTAGTCCATGGACCAAATCCATTGGATTGTAACACAGCCACACTCATTTGTTTATGTGTTGTCTATGCTACTTTTGCACTAAAATGGGAGAGTTGAGTAGTTGTTGTAGATACTATGTGGGCAAAGCTCTTTAAAGAAAAATGTTTGTCAACCTCTAAAATAGAGAGTCAATAATCTGGACAATTCAGACCCCAAACATCTCCTTCTCCCTCTACAGCATCTTTTGAAGAGTGTGAATAATTATGTCAACTCTTTGCTTTCTTATACCAAAGTGTTACTGACGAAGCACTATGGCAAAATAATGTTTTCATATAAAATACTTTTTCTTAAATAAATATAAAATTATGGATTTATAAAACTAAATGTGGATAAAGTTTTGTCAATAATGAATAAATATTGAGAAGGGTATGGTTTGGACAATCGTAGCTTATTGGTTTTTCAGCTAATGGCAAAATAAAATTCCATCAAATGTCCTGTGCATTCTCACAATGTGTTTGTCTAAACATCTTGGATGATGTTCCCCTATTTTGTCTTGAGTTGCTCAATGGATTTCTTGAGAAATTTGTGACCTCAGTGTGTAGCACTTTCTCTATGGGTCCACACATGTGTATTCACCCTGTTTTACTCATTTATAAGGATTAATCCATAGCCTCTATTGAGACCACATTCTTCCCAGTTTGAGCCTTTCTTCTCAAAAAGAGGGAAAAAATGGTCAATACTCAGTGGGAAAAAATCCATTTTATACACCAAATCATTCCTGCTGGCAAACACTAGGTAGTAGGACTGGAATGGAGTCAGAGAGAAGGAAAACTTTCACTTTTTAGTTTATGCACTGCTACTATTTGAATGTTTACATTGAAGTATGTATTAGGAATCCATTTTAATGAACAATTGGACTAGAAATTCAGCTGTGCCTGTGGCTTTAATTTGAAAGCCTCCTGGCCAGCTCACTATGTACCTAGAAACTCAGTTCCTGCCAGTCTTGGCAGACACCATTGCATATTATTACCCTGCATGACTTGGTTGTCGAGGTCACTTGTCGCAAGTCACGACCTTGACTGTCTTCATTCATGGTCTGATCTGCATGCTGCTTCACATTTTTTCTCAGTCGCTTAGATTTACACTGAATTTCAGTTAACAAGCCTAAAATAAATAAGCATAGAGACTTCACCAATCACAGAAAGTACTGTTGGGTGTGTGGTCATAAAACCACTGATATGTACCTGGCCCAGAAGATCCCCTATGCAATGACACAGAACTAATGCTAGCCCTTTATGCGTTTTAAAAAGGGAAGGCCAAGGTTTGAGACTTAATCTTGAACAAGTAGTTTAACCTCTGTGAATCTCAGTTTCCTCATTTGTAAAATGGGAATAATATCTACCTTATAGAGTTTTTTGTAGATTAAAAGCAATCAGATCATTTAAAAATGGGCTTTATATAAAGAATTTGTGATACGAAAGCATTGTACAAATGCAAGGGATTCAGTCAATGAAAAGGTGAATGACACTCTCCCTGTTCCTGCTCTAGGGGACCATGAAAATTGGTGTTTTAAAACATGCCATTAATATTAGTTTCAGCCATGTTTACATATTGTACCAGAAGAAGGATATTGAATTTCACATTAAACATATATAAACTTATTGAGAAAAATAAATGTTAGCATCCTTTAGGGATATTTTTAAAATCCTGTTAATTTTGAGAACAGTGCCAATTCCCGAGAATATAGTTAAAAATAAAAATAATACAAGGTGACTTTAAAAATGTCTTTGAATGATCAATCAACCTCATTGATTTACACTTAAATGGAGCTATTAAAAATAATGTAAAACAATCTTCCCTTCATCCCATTTAACGTCCTTACTCTTCTCTCAATGCCAATAAAACAAAGTTCCAGGAATTTCTTTGTACAGGTAATTTATTTTATAGAACCATGAAATATCTGCATCTGTTACTGGACGAGTTTGTGTTCGTAAATATTATAGATTGCTATATGTGGCTTCATGCAAAATGTCCTCAGAGCTCCAGCTGGAACAAGTTCATATCTAAGTGATGAGCAATATGAGCTGCGCAGTGTCAGAGTAAGTGTTTCCATTGTGAGACTGGATTCCAGCAGCAGCCCCTATTGCAGGCTCTCATTTCATGTATGCTAAGATGAGATTGTGATCAGCTGCTATAAAACTTTCATCCACCCAGAGCTGGATTATTTACACAGACCTATTTTCCCCCAACCGGCACGCATTATTTCCCTGGGTCCATCTCAGTTGCCTGTACAGTTTGGTAACAATAGAACTGGAGTCACCTTCTGAAGGCTTTTATTTCATGTGGCATTCCCTGCCTGAATGCTATCATCCCCTTGGTGACATTTGTTTGTCTATTTGTGTTTTGAGGAGAAACAGGACATATCTCAGAATCTGAGTGGTCTGTAGAATTTGCAGAATGAAAAATTAATTATGTTATATACTAGCATGCATTCCAATTTTTGATGAAGATTATAGTTCCTCACAAAGCCAGCAGTTTAATACAGTGTCTCCTTATCAGATAGAAGGACAAAATTATATTAAAACTGGGAGTAGTTAATTTCCGGTGTAAACCTATACAAATTGGTTCAAAGCTGCACTAAGACAGATTCTTAATAAAATGACTTGGTTTAAAACTCTATTTAGACAATTCAGAGGCAGTTATACCTTATAAAGCACTCTTATTTTTTTCCACAATAGTGAATTTGTATGCTAATTAAGCAATACATAATAAGTATATTAAAATCAAATTTAGAGGAAACTTTTAGACTGTCATTTGTAGCTTATTAAAGCACGTTACTTGAATGGTATGCTAATGCCACTGGGCTCCATGTATAGTTCACTGCGACAAAGAACAACAACAACAACAACAACAAAAATAGACATTTCTTTTGGGTGACTAAAATGCTCTTTAGTTGACAGTTTGGACAATTTCAGTGGTTCATTACCCTTTTCAGGAACTTAGATGGCTTAGTAGGTTCCTTCTTTAATATGTGAAGTAGCACTGTCGTGATGAGTTACCTGACATCTGCCTCCTTAAGAGATTTTTAGTGAAATGTAATTGCTTGAAGTGAATACCTGTATACATACATTCAGCCAACATTCCCATCTCTTTGCATTTCCTTAGTCGACACTCTTGACACTTTCTTCTCATGTACATATCCATCACACAGTTGCCCCCGTTTTTACACTTGTACACGGCGTTTTTGGTGATGCTTCTCCTGAAGAAACCTGTGGGAGAAACACTGAAAAGTGTAAAAAGTCCTCTTACAGCTTCTCAGGAAAAACACAGGTATGGATTGAGAGATGCCAGGACATTTTCTCACAAACTGCGAAAGAGCACCCAGGCCACCCTTGAACACACCAGTGACAAATACTTTATATGACATTGTGTTGTCAAGAAGGCTGTTGTTTTTAATTTATCTTTCAGAAATAAAGACAAGTTTGAATTATAGCCTCTCTTAGGAAAAATGTGAATTTGTTTTCTAAGATAAATTACTTTCATAGATCTTTATTGGGGGACAATTCTATGCCACTGAGCACTAAGTGCCGAGGGTACAAAGGCAAACAATTCACCCCTGGGCTCCGAGAGTTTAAAGGTTGGCTGAGGACAAAGACACACAAACAACGAAACAAGTGGAATTACATGTTGTCTGGGCTCTAAACACTGCATGGCGGCAGAGCAAACACACAGACTCCTCAGTTTGGGATAAAGAGGTCAGGATAGGAAGTGAGCATTGAGCTAAGTTTTAGAAAGTGAGTTGCTGTTAACCAGGCATTCAGGGAGAAAATGGCATTCAAGGTTTCAATTCAGTGCTTTATATGCCAGCCTGGCATAATAATAAAAATGCCAACCTTGAGCTAAAAGCAAACATCTCCCCCGAGAAGGCATAGCACAGCTGCAGCCTATTAACAGGTAAGATGCCTAGAGTGAAAAAGGGAGGTAACCGGCTTCAACTCTGCTGCTCCATTTCCCCACTTTCTGCTTTCTCCTCCATCTGACTAACCATAGTTCCTGACACTTTCAGAGTCAAGGAGGCAGTGTTGAATAGGGAGAGGACTGTGAGAGAGGTAAGAGAAGAAATGACAGGAAGGCAGTTACTGGACTAGTGTTGCTGTAAGCCGGTTTGTGTGTAGCAAGTTTTCAAAGTTGACTCTCCATTGGGTTGGGTTCTTTAGAGACTTCTCATCTTTGGGATACTTTCATCTGAACTTTGTTTTTTGTTTCTTGTTTTTTTGAGACAGTGTCTCACTCTGTCACCCAGGCTAGAGTGCAGTGGCACAATCTCGGCTCATGCAGCCTCTGCCTTCCGGGTTCAAGCGATTCTCCTGTCTCACCCTCTGGAGCAGCTGGGATGAAAAGTGCCACTCACCATGCCCGACTAATTTTTGTATTTTTAGTAGAGATGGGGTTTCACCATGTTTGCCAGGCTGGTCTCAAACTCCTGACCTCAAATGATCTGCCCGCCTCAGCCTCCCAAAGTGCTGGGATTACAGGCATGAGCCACCACACCCAGCCTCATCTGAACTTTTTTGATGAGGGCAAATACATCTCTATTCTAGCCCATGGTATGTGTCTCCTTCAACATCTAGGAATTTGGCGATTCACTCCACGATTTTTACACTGAGGTCACTCCTTGTGGTTCTCTTGACATGGACCTAAGATAACCCCATAATGGCTTTCTCTGATCTAGCAATCTCTGTGGATCAGAGAAATCTCTCCCACTTATCCAGGAGCAGTCAGCCACCCGGCTTCCTGCCTTTCAACTTCTCAGGTGAAAGTGAGACACAAAGTCCCCATGTCTATCAGCTTCAGGGGATACATGTCAACCTACTCAAGTAATCATCTTGAAGACTCTTTCATTGGGCTTGGAGCAATAGGACCTCTTCAGTATACATTTTGGGGACACAAGGGGACACCATTTTCCAATCCTCAAAAAGTTACTACACGTTCCAGTGGTGGCCCGAGGGACAGACACTCCCACTTCCAACATTCTCCTTTGTAGTAGGGATGTAAGATTCACACATCACACTAATCACATGCTCCAAAATCTTTACAAGACCTCTCTGTAATTTCCAACTCCTGATCTCTTCATTCTGTCAAAATAAGTGACATGTTTAACTAGTACTTGAATATCCACTGTGAAATTTCTGCCAGATGGGCTCACCTTGGAATGTAGCATCTAGTGTCTTCATGTCTCTATCAAAACTGAGAGGAGTCCTTCTTATTTTAACAGACTGTTGGAATAATATCTAACATTTATTAAGCACTTAGTAGCTATTGTTTGAACAACTTTACCTCCATTTACTGATTTAATTGTCATATCAATTTTATGATGAAGATAGTATTATTTGTCCCCATATCATAGATGAAGAAAAAAGGTACAGAGAGTTTAAGTACCTTGGCCATGATCATGGTTAGTAGTTGGCTAGGAAGGTTCAAACCCAGGCAGTCATGCACTAAAGCCTGTACTCTTAACCACTGTCTTGCAATTACCACCCTTGGGTCATAAGAGAGTAAAATAATTTACTGTTAAGTAAAAACTATCTGAAAGCTGCATTCTCTGACCTGGGAAATACCAAGATGAATAAGACATTCCTTGTCTTCAGAATTGCATACTTAGTTGGAATAAACAGAAGTAAATTTACAGCATAATACAAAATATGAGTAATAAGATAGCTAAACAAGGAATAAATTATTGAAATGTAGAAGCAGGTCCACACCATATGCTTGTAAAGATTGTGCCACATTTAAGGAGGAGAGGCAGCAATTACATTGCACCCATGTAGAGCTGCATATTTCTTATGACAATTTTCCAGCAGAAGGCACTTAAAAATTGTTCTAACAAGGTAAGTATAATATGACGATTTCCTAACTGCTAGAAGTCAAGTGCCTCGAAGAAAAGGCATTGTATAGACTGGGAGTGATCCTGATTAATTAAGAGTAGCCAGAATCAGGGAGAGGTCCATGAAGGAAATAGAATTTGATTTGGGCCTTGAAGAATAAGTAAGGTTTTAGAAACATGGACCATGAGGGAGGAAAGACATTCAGAAAAATGAACAAACAGGGTGTTATGAAAATTCCAAGAAAGGGTGGATACTCCGTCTTGGTGGCAGTAGGGTAGAGTATGGAGAGAATTAGTGGGAGACGGGTAAGCACTTGTAGTAGGAACAGAATCTGATGACGTGTCCTTGAATACCAAGCAAAGGAGTTGAGTCTTTACCATGTTGAAAGAGGAAAGCCATTAAAGGCTTTGACAGGGGAAAGTATGACCTAACCTGTATGTTGGGAAGCTCCTTAGAGCAAGGTAAAGAAAGGTGAAATGGGTATTGGAGACTAGAGACAGGAGACTATTGCCATAATACAACTGAGAGGGTACCAATGTCTGAACTAAAGTGGGACAGAATAGAAAAGAGGAAACAGAGAGAATATCAGGCTCTGGTAACTCGTGAAATATGAAAACAGAGGCTGAAGGAAAAGTTAGAGATGTCAAGGTTAAGAAAGTCACGGACTTGCTTGTGAATTTTTCAGATGGTGTAAATTTCAGTAGGAGAGATCTTAACATTTTCCTAAATGTCAAATCCAACCAAATAAAGTCTAAAAAAAGACTTTGTGCTGCAGATCAGTGTTGATATTGAGAGTGCAAATACCAAAGCATGCATTTTAAGAGACTAAAAGCAAAAAGAGGACTTTTTCTTTCCTGGTACCAAATCATGACCTCAATGTCCTCTTGAGCCTACATGAGTCAGCCTTCCTACTAATAATCTTCTGCCCCTCCCAGGAATGATTTCCTTTAAAACTGTCATAGATACTGATAGACAGCTTAATAGTTAACAGAATAAAACTCTTTCTTCCAAGATGAGTCAAAGGAACAGTGCGTGGAATCATTCTGCAGGGTTTTTTGACTCTGGTATTAACTGAAAAAGAAATCATTATCATCTCAATAGTTGAATTAATTAGCTTTCACTCTGAGATAGCAACACAATATTATCATTATATCATTTAAATATGGGTACATATACTGTATTTATACTTATGCAAATCTATCCATACACATAACTCTGCCTCTGTCTTGCTCTTTCTTGTGCATATTCAACAATGCTCATATCAGAAAAGTCATTTGAAAATGAATGGAAAGGAAATTCACTGAGGAACAGAGCCTTGCTAGTAATACAGGATGAGTAGACAGAGTTGGCATTGCCATCTGGGGAATGTGTAGCACCAGTGGGATCCCTGGGGTAGCAAGCAAACAGCTAGAGGATGGTACTTTTATATGGATTCCTCGATTCTGCAGAATATTGCACACTGCTTTTCTACCTCTATTTTTTTTTTTCTTTTCCGAGATGGAGCCTTGCTCTGTGGCCCAGGCTGAAGTGCAGTGGCATGATCTCAGCTCACTGCAACCTCTGCTTCCCGGGTTTAAGCAATTCTCGTGCTTCTTTATACTGGTGGAAGCCACATACCACACCCTATTCTCAAGTCATACACACATATGTGTACATACACATGCACGTACCAGACTCCAGTGACTGATACTGGTAGCCACTGGTAGTAGGCCACCCACTACTTTGCAATCAATAAAATTTTGGTTGATGTTGTAAAACTTTAAGGGTCTACAAGCTTTTAAAATAGCAGCAAACACACAGAGGTGAGTAATTAGATATCTTTCCATTCAAGATGACCTAAATGGAGACAGCTTCTAGATCTGTCTCCACATATACAGCACTTATTTTGTGCCAGGCACTGTTCTAAAATGGTAAATGGCAATTCATTTCCTATTCATAACAATCCAATGAGGCAGATACTATTATTATCGCTTTCTTACCAAAGAGGAGACTGAGTTACAAAGAGGTTAATTTGTTCAAGGTCCTGCAGAGAACAAATGGTAGAGTTCAGATGTGAACCTTGATAAGCTCACCCTCTGCACTCTTTTTATTTTTTATTTTTTTAGACAAGGTCTTGCTCTGTCGCCCAGGGTGGAGCGCACAGTGCAATCATAGCTCACTGACGTCTCAAACTCCTGGGCTCGAGCGATCCTCTCACCTCAGCCTCCTGAGTAGCTGGGACTACAGGTGCACCCCACTATGCCCAGCTATTAATAATTTTTAAATTTTGTGTAGAGACTGAGTCTAGCTATGTTTTCTAGGCTGGTCTCAAACTCCTGGACTCAAGCAATCCTCCTGCCTCAACCTCCCAAACTGTTGGGATTACAGGCATGAGTCACTGTGCC